CTACACCACAAATTTAATATAACTATCTGTATTAATGGGATATAATGTATAATATAACTAGACAGAAATGCCATATGTGTGATATACAATGCAAGATATAATTAAAATATAATATAATATTATATAATAAATAAATATAATATAATATAATATAAAATATAATATAATATTGAGGCACAATCAGAATTATAGTATAATATTAAAATACAATAAAATATAGTTAATATCGACATATAATGAATTATAATTATAATATAGTACTGAGATGCAATTCCAATATATGTGATTTAAATAATATAAATGAGACATAATTACATAATTCATTAGATATTAAAAACGAAGAAGAATTAAATGTCTGCATTCAAAAATGTTACAGTATAGGTCATTGCTATTGTTAACGATACGCACGTGATTCACTAATAAAAAATATACGAAAAAACTTAATTTTACGAGCGGTGCCATAAACGTCAGAATGACATTTGACCAGAAATTTAAAGGTGTTATAAATTAAGTTTGTTGGCACAAATTTGTCGAATTTGCAAATTTCTTAAAGTTCAGAATATTCGGGTTTACACTTACACAAATACACATATTGAATCAACGTTAAGTTCTCTATGAACATTCTCACATTTATGATTTCTAACATTGCATTCTTTTCTGCACTAATTACGTTACTTAAATTACATATGTAATTTTTCAATTGCAATTTAATTTTGTACCAGTTTCGTTACACTTGCATTTTAATTATTTACAAAATGAAAATTTATGAAAGAAGATTTAGACCCATAAATTCAGTCCATAAATCGTTCTCTATAATCAAACGGAACAATTACGTAGGATGTTAAATTTCGCTTACATTCCAAGGACACTAACACAGCCACGTGTCCAGCTATTAAAATTGCGTTTCTGTAAAGTTCGTGGAGAATTTTGCCAGAAATCGCGGTACGAAGTTCTAATTCTAGAATGAAACTTTGCTCGACGAAAGTCGGACACTGCCAAAACATTGACTTGCTTAAATGTGTCTCACGAAACACGTTGCGCCACGCACTTTTTTCCATGGACGAAGAAACGAGGCGACGGCCATTTTGTAGACGCCGCGCGAAACGGAAATCGTCGCGATATGATCGTCGAATGAGAAGCAACGACCCGAAAAAAAGAAAGAAAAGAGAAATTAAGAAAACGCCACGTCAGTGAATGATTAATCGAATTCTGATCGATTTCCTCGATTGTTCCCTCGTGAACTTTTGCATGAACGGACGGAAAGTTTGGGCGACAGGGAGGAAATCGAAGCAACGTTTGCTCGTAGAAACACGACTCGAATTGAACGATGAAATTGTTGAGCAATTAAATTCATCGACTCATTTCTTCTTTCCTTAAGAAGCTTAATTGATCAAATTGTGTTCCGCATTCTTCGGAATACGCGGCTCGAATGATTTATCGCATAAGATGTTCTTTCTCGTTTAATAAAGATTTATTTTATCAGTTCGCACCCTTTATCTCGTAAAGCAATTCACAATCAAATGTGTTAAATCAAAATGAGTGATTCGGTTTCTTCTGACTTTCGAGAAAGAACATTACTCGGCGTCTTTAAAAATGAAATTGACCGCAATGGATCACGCTTGCAGCCACATAGAAACGTAGCGTGAAATAAAGAGCAGTTAGTCGATACCACACGAGAGCACGTACAGCTGGAAACCATTTTAGCCGCGAGATCTCACTGCTAGCGCCATTTCCTTTGCTCTAGGATTAACCCTTTGTCCTGTGTTTCATTCGTCAATAATATAACCTGATGCAAGACATGTTGTCATACGTGAAAACAAAGGGTTAATGTCTGTTCAGCTTTCGCCTGTTCAGGAACGCGTAGATCTCGCTATGAAATCATTCTTATCGTACATCAACTTCAGTGCGATTTTTAATTCATAAGCACGTGTTCAACGGTGCGGTCGGATCTTTTACCTACTTTTGCAAATGTGAGTCAAAAGTTATGAAAGGATTTAAAGAAACTGATTTCTTCTTCGTCGTATTTTTTACTCTAATTTTTATTGCAAAGGAAAAGTAGTCGTTCTTAGCCTGTAGATATTTTTAGTCTAACACGGTTTTTTCGATAACGTTCAATGTTAATACTTAAACTTAATTTCTGTAATTTTAGTCAGTTATTTTGTAGAGCTTGGTTGACTTCTTGACATATAGCTACAGTGGGCTCTTGTATTACTATTGAAAACTAGAGTTATATGTAACTGAAATATATTTTATTTATGAAAGTATATGTATAATCAAAAGAAGCCTTTTTTGATATTCCTACGATATTTGTAAATCGATGAATAATGGTAGGAAAGAAGACAGAAGGGTGTTTAAAGCTCCACGTAAATTTGGCAATATAACGAGAGCCCACTGTATTTCCAAAAAAAGACAACTGTTAAATTTAGTGATTCAAAAATTGTTTAACTTGTGCATTTTTTAAACCAGCTGCTTTCATAATTATTAATTTCCATTTTTAATACATTATTATTCAACACCAAGCATTCACATGATTTTCGCGGGAATTTTAAAAATCTCAAGAAATTACAAGTAAAAATTAACTATTTTAGATCTTTAATGTTCACATAATTTTCCAAAATAATTCAAATAATTAAAAAATCTCAGAAAGAAGAAATTACAAGTGAAAAATACTTTCCTACAAATTTGGCCCACTCTTCAGAAGTCTACGTATGAAAACGTGGCAGCAATAAAGTGTTGAAAGTTAACAATTAATCTGAGTTATTGTCGAGTTATAAAGCGGAAGTCGTATTCATTTCTTCCACAAGTCATAACTAAGGTGTTAATAAAAGAATCTCATTTATACGTGACAGATATAAATACCCTTGGCCTTAAATTTGAACGGAATTACAGCTCGGTATTCCGCATTCTCATTGTGAAATTTTCTCGCTTCCGTAAAATTCGCGTCGAAAATATCAACAGCTGTTAAGTAACCGATGAACGTTTAATGCGTATTTTCGTGTTTTGTGACGTCGATTGTCTGCGAACATATTTGTGTGTATTTATAACAGAAAGGAAAATTTACATTTAATTATTGTATTGTTGAAGTTATTATGAAGGATCACTTTTAGTGTTCTTTGAAATTGGTTTTAAGATTGTTTATTGCGAATACGGTGATTCTTTTGAAGATATTTTATGATTATTGTGATGCATTGATTTCCATAGAAGGTTCTTGCGTTCTATAGAATGCAATAGATTGATTAATTATATATACAAAGCTATATTGTACTTTGTTAATGTAAGGTTTATTATGCCGATTCAAGTTTATTATCCGTTTCGGAAGGGATAGTAGTATAAATGTGTTGTAAATTCTTAAATTAGATATTTAGAAACCTCTTCATTCTGAAACTTAATGTTATAATTTTTCTAATTTTTGTCAATAATTTGGAAATATTTTTAATTTATAATTATTTAAATCCTTATATTTAGTAATTTGGATATTCTCAAATTTATGATCATTCAAATTTTTATATTCAGTAATTTGGATATTTTCAAATTTATGAACATTCAAATTTTCATATTTAACAGTTTGGAAAATTTTCCATTTACAGAGATTCAGATTTTCATATTCCATAATTTAGGAATATTTAAATTTACAAACATTCAAATTTCCATATTTAGCAATTCAGAAATATTTAAATTTATAAATGTTTCAATTGTTATATTTAGTAATTCAAGAATTGTCAAATTTTAAAGTTGAAAGATCTCAAAATTTATAAATATTCAGAGTGTCAAATTTACAAAAGTTTCCATATTACATATTTTCCGTAGTAAATAATACTCTTTAGGCGCATTTCTTCTTTTATAAAACTTACTAAAAAATAATTAAATTTTCTATACTAAAAGTATTACAATGTCTTGAAAAGAGAGATAAAAATTAGCAAATGAAAATGAATTTTAACAAAGACTCAACTTTACTATTCAAGAGTTAATGAAAACCAGCTGTACGATAAGAATTCATATGCGTCTTTAAAAAAATATGTTTCGCCTGTTAAAAAAAGTTGTCATTTACGTAACAGAGGTGAAAAACTAATTTCTGCTAGACACAACTGCAATGCGACAAACAAGTAATTAAACTCCTCATTAATTTAATTTTAAATTTTCAATATTTCTGATTTAAAAATTTCTATTGTAAATGTCTATTGTAAATATCATTCTTTATTAATTTTAATTTACAACATCTGAAAATTATATTGAGTCTGCAGTTATACAAAACTTGTATTCAGTTTATTATTAAAAGAAATGTTACAAGTACCTAAAGTTTCAAGCTAAAACTTAAATCAGTTTACAATAAATTATTAATTATTAACCCAACTCTGAAGTTCCACAAAACAAAAAACCTGCATAAAAATTTGAAATAACAAACTGATGAACAAGCACGGACAAGCTTACACTCCTAACACCTTACAACTATGAGTAAAAATACGCAAGAACCTTACATGAAACCTAAAACATCTCACGTAAAAGAATCAAAAATATTCCATGAAATTCGCTTGTTCAGATGTGAGGCCATAGGTGATGCTACAATAAGATAATATGAAACGAAAAGATCCGACCATGCCGTTCGCAAGCTTTTTAAGGTCAAAAAACGAAGAGAAAAGTGTGTACGACACTTCGATCCTCTCTGTTTCCCACTGTCCGTCATCCTCCTGCGTGGCGTGCACACGTTGCGAGTAAAGGTAGCGTCACACACGTCACTCTCTTCTCCCCGCCATGACCGTTCGGTAGTGTCGAGCCTTAGCGTACACGGAATCGATGTGTCGGCCGCGAAAAGTAAAGAGAAAATAGAAAAGACACGTCGTACGGGTCGTATTTTATACCATCGTGCCGTACGTACGCATTAGATCCCACGCTGAACACTTCCACTCACGTGAATCACGCACGCGCGTCCCTCAGAATTCTAATTGTCCCTTCTGACGGGCGAACGTTAACGGGACAACACGCTAACGATGTTGGTTTTGCAGATACAAATGCGAGAAAAATGATGTACCGATTACCGTCACGAACGGCTCAACGTTGCCGCTCGTGGAACGACCCAATGACGAAGAAGCAGCCCTTTACAATCCGTTCGAGCACAGGAAGCTGGCGCATCCCACGTCGGACATGGACACCCTGATACATCTGCTGAAAGGCAGTCTGGGCACCGGGATCCTTGCGATGCCGATGGCTTTTAAGAATGCCGGTTTACTCTTCGGTCTATTCGCCACGTTCTTCATCGGCGCTATTTGCACCTACTGCGTTCACATCTTGGTCAAGTGCGCCCATAAGCTGTGCAGGCGGACGCAGACGCCTAGCTTAGGATTCGCCGATGTTGCCGAAGCTGCCTTTCTGGTTGGGCCTGAACCTGTGCAGAAGTACGCTCGCCTTGCAAAGTAAGTAAATTTGTTTTATTATATTAAACTTGTTGTGGACCCTTATGTTCAAAAATGGATCAGATATGAAGTTGCCACAAACAGGGACCATCATATCGTCATAAAGAGTATACTACTTTGAACAATGATAGCAATTATTTATTTTTAAAATCAAACTTATACATGTCCGATGTCGAGATCCTTGTCCCTACATCAACTACTGAATTGTCCAAAAAGTCAGTAGTATTTGTGATAACTGAACTATTAAAGTTGTCTAAGTTATTAAGTGGGTTAAAGATTCATATGTGATCTATCAGTTGCTATATGAAACAATTTCTTGTGTCTTTTCAGGGCGACGATCAACTCGTTCCTAGTGATCGACTTAATCGGTTGTTGCTGCGTGTACATCGTTTTCATCTCGACCAACCTGAAAGAGGTGGTTGACTACTATACGGATACCGATCGTGATGTCCGGCTTTATATGGCGGCGTTGCTGCCTTTGTTAGTTGCGTTCTCACTTGTCAGGAACCTGAAATATCTGGCACCGTTCTCGATGATCGCGAACATTCTGATCGCCACTGGAATGGGGATCACGTTTTACTACATTTTCACCGACTTGCCAACCATCAAGGACGTGCCAAATTTTTCGAGCTGGCCTCAACTACCCCTGTTCTTCGGTACAGCTATCTTCGCTCTTGAAGGCATCGGCGTTGTAAGTACCTTTGATAATTCAAATACTTGATTTGTTCGTTAGATTCGATTCAGGGTGTGTGATCTCCAAAAGTAGTAAAGCTCCACATTTCGCATTAGCAAACTTTGGATCTTTAAACTTAATAATGGGACTTACGGATCCTACTGGGTTTAATACCAGTTAATATTTTAATACACAATGTGGAATTCAACTTCCATACTCAATATTGATGTAGTGTCTGGACCTTCAGACTATAGTGGAATTAACACTTTCAAACTAATAGTATAACATCGGGATCTTCAGACCCAATGAACCCCACATTAACAGCTAGAATCTGTAGACACAATAATTAGGAGAAGGCATCACGCACTCCAAATTTGACATATCATACATATCACTAGTGTAATCATAGTATAAGCTAATTTCACAATAACGTCTCGTCCACAGGTGATGTCTCTCGAAAACAACATGAAAACCCCAGCGCACTTTATCGGTTGCCCAGGAGTATTGAACACCGGTATGTTCTTCGTGGTGCTGTTGTACAGCACCGTCGGTTTCTTCGGCTATTGGCGCTACACCGATCAAACGATGGGTGCGATCACGCTGAACCTGGAGAAAAGCGAGGTGCTAGCTCAGTCAGCAAAGGTCATGATCGCAGTAGCGATTTTCCTTACGTACGGTCTGCAATTCTACGTGCCAATGGAGATCATCTGGAAGAACGCCAAACAATACTTCGGTTCGAGGAAGTTGTTGGGCGAATATGCAATCCGTATCGTGCTGGTGATATTCACGGTAGGCGTAGCGATCGCTATACCGAACCTGTCGCCGTTCATGTCGCTGGTAGGCGCCGTCTGTCTCTCCACCCTGGGTCTGATGTTCCCGTCCGTGATCGAGCTAGTCACCGTGTGGGAGCAGGAAGATGGGCTTGGCCCGTACTATTGGAAACTCTGGAAGAATATAGCCATCATCGCGTTCGGCATATTGGGCTTCCTGACCGGCTCCTATGTCAGCATCCAGGAGATCCTCGAGGCGCACAAGTGAAGCGCCGAGTTCGAAGGAGCTGCGGTGCGACGGAATAATCGCTCAGCGCGTACCACTGATGCCGACGTGTTCTACGACAGCTTCTGCGCTCTCGTTGAGCGAGCTCGTCGGACCATCCGGACGACGATGACTAGGAGGGTGATGCTACTGCCGCTGGGAACATCCAGGAGCCCAGGTTACGCGGCCAAGCGAGCTCCGAACTTCTAGCTTCGTCTCGCTCCTTCTGTTTGCACATCGGTACGACGGCCGTGACGAAGGCGAACGTCGCGTAGTTGGGCCTTTGTATACTTGACCCTGACTTCTCGTTATGTCGATCGTCGAAACCATCAAGGCAGAGGAGTTCCTGTATCGGGTCATTGGTAGACACTCGACAATACTGTGAAAGACTGTATATACATATACACTTTTTGGGTATTCATTAACGATATGTTTCTACGTCTAACAATCAGAGGGAAAACTGATCAAATTAAAGGGACTTTGAAGGTTAAAGGTGCATGAACTCCTTCCGCCATTACGCGACGACGTAGACGCAGTACCACCGCTTCGTTCTTCTCGGTAGGCTGACATGTGTGTAGCATAGAAGGCTTACGGTGTAGAGAACACGATCGATATTCGCCGATCTATCATGTCAGAGTCGTCGTTGCTGATGTTGCGTCGTATAAAACCGTACGCTATGTGTACAGTAAGAATCATTAATGTCGCGTGTTTCCCTTTGAACAGGTGTTTTAACTTTCACCTGTTGCGGTATTTTGTATCGTTTGGTACCTTAAGATCTTCAATGATTGTGTCAATTATCTTGGACGATTTCAGTGTTGCACGGGATGGGTGTTTTGTAAATATTGTCTGTTTTTGAAAATGTCAAGCAGTATTATTTCAAATTCATTTTCTCGTTCCTAATTTTTCAATTTTTAATTTCGTCATTTTTAAATGTCCGTATTTCTAAATTTTCAAGCTTCTAAAGTTTCTATCAAATCAAATTCATTTTCCCGACATATTTAACATACTCAACTTGAAACTGCCATAACAGAAATAGCTATATTTAGCAGGATGCACAAGTTAACCCTCAAAGGATGGTCAAACAATGATGCTAACTAGATCAATCATGATTGAGATATATGAAACTTTGATTAAAATTAATTTTTAAAGAAAAACATTTCAGAATGTCAAAAGATTACAAAATGAAGACAATGTAGAATACAAAACGAGCTGTAATTGTTCAACTGCTTCTGAGGGTTAAAGATTAACTTCTAAAGTGATATATCAATTTACCATTTTGAATCATGGATGATCTCCGCGACAGTTAACCTATCAAACCTAAATCAATTGGAGTGTTTCGATCGTCGAATAATTTCATGAAGTAAAATGTGCGATATTAATGGTTCTTACCGTATATCGCCACACGTTCTAGCGATTAACCGAGCAGTCAAAATGGCACAACGTGGCTCGCAGTACCCGGATCCACGACAATGTGGATCCCTCGACCCGCGGGATCTGAGATCTGCGAAATGCTAACACGAGTAACAAGGACGTGAATAAAGACGCCCTTTTTCTCTTTTTATTTATTCGCGTTGCGTCGACCGTGCGCACGACGAAGCTTTCCATCGATTTCACACAACTGCGGGACGGTTTTCTTTCTTGTTTTTTTTTTCTGTTTAGTAGCTTGCGTACATATTACGTACGGGTATAGATACGTAAATTATACTTAAGCGTTTTTTACCCGCAAACAGGGAGCGTCGTTCGCGTTTTTGGCTTTAACGTCCATTCGTTCGTTCAATTTACCGCGACAAGAGAACGATCTGTATGATAAGAGGTTCCATCGGCCGATCGTTGATCGATCTGCTCCAAACTTTATCGACAGAAATCAACGAAGACTAAACCCTTCTTACTTGACATACAAGTATTTTTCTACATTAAATTTTAACGTAAATGACTATTTTGGAAATTGTGGCAATTTGTATGGAACGTTTATGTCGGTCAGAGGGGTTAACACGTTGACGTTACATTTAAATAATTGTTCAAGTTGTCATTCAATTTTTTATGTTTCTATTTTGTTAGCATACATGAGTAACAAACTTTGACTGTCGTGGAAAGTTTTAGAAGACTTACAACAATCACATGTCTGGTGGAAAGTAGTCTTTTAATATGGAGACAAGGAATATATGTTATTTACAAGTTTTATAACAAACATGTATTCATAAATCAGAGCACTTAGATCTTTTACTCTCAATTGTAAATAATTAATATTTCATATTCCTGTTTTATTTTCATTGACACTTTCCTACCAAACACGTGTACTTATTTATTAACATATTTGAGAATTATATTTTCAGTAGTTTTACAATTGTATTTTCATTTTGATCAGGGAAAACTAAATACAGTATTGGCTACTTAAAATTGAATTTATGGTAAATAACATAGGTATGTGTTCAAATCTTTCAAAATTTGTTACTTTCCATGTAGCAGTGCTATTGAAGTTCTATCCTGCCTTTTAATTACTAAGCTGTCTTCTTGAGGTGTTCATTGCCAGTCATTAACACTTGACTGTTGGATGATACTGGTATTTCCATAAAACTTCACCATCTATAGCGCTAGTAATTCTTTATTTTACCTAATTGAAAATAATTAGGTAACAAATAAATTGATCTAACAGATACATTAGGTGACAGCTAACACTAAAGTATTACAGAACTTACAGACAGCCTTAACAATTTTTTAAAATTTGTTCCTTTATCATAGTAACTTAAAATTGTTCACTTTTCTTTCTTTTAATTATATTTTTGTGATATCCATCACCAGTTAATGCTATAGCAAAGTATTTAACATGTTGACTGCCTTATATGTGGATACTTGAATTTTCACAAGAATCCTTCGTACTTGCCTAATTAAAAATATTAGGTGCTATAGAATATAGTACTAATTATGTAACTAATACTATATTCTATACATAGTACCTAACAGATATACTAACATACTGAAGTCCAATGAAAAGATTTGATGGGTTTAATGAGTAGATTAGATTTGCTAAAAACAGTAACACTACTTAAATGTTAAATAATTTGAAAATGACAGTCCAATGAAAAGATTTGATGGGTTCAACGAGTAGATTAGATTTGTTAAAAACAGTAACACTACCTAAATGTTAAATAATTTGAAAATGATAATCCAATGAAAAGATTTGATGGGTTCAACGAGTAGATTAGATTTGTTAAAAACAGTAACACTACCTAAATGTTAAATAATTTGAAAATGATAATCCAATGAAAAGATTTGATGGGTTCAATGAATAGATTAGATTTGTTAAAAACAGTAACACTACCTAAATGTTAAATAATTTGAAAATGATAATCCAATGAAAAGATTTGATGGGTTCAATGAATAGATTAGATTTGTTAAAAACAGTAACACTACCTAAATGTTAAATAATTTGAAAATGATAATCCAATGAAAAGATTTGATGGGTTCAATGAATAGATTAGATTTGTTAAAAACAGTAACACTACCTAAATGTTAAATAATTTGAAAATGATAATCCAATGAAAAGATTTGATGGGTTCAATGAATAGATTAGATTTGTTAAAAACAGTAACACTACCTAAATGTTAAATAATTTGAAAATGATAATCCAATGAAAAGATTTGATGGGTTCAATGAGTAGATTAGATCTGTTAAAAACAGTAACACTACCTAAATGTTAAATAATTTGAAAATGACAGTCAACGTGTTAAAGATTGTATAGAAATCGGAACTAGCACGAATAAAAAAAAGTATTCAGATCGACTACGTAACTCTGATGGAAACTGCTGATCTGTTCCTAGTGCATATTGCACAAACGATAAAAAGAAGACGTACAAAAGATGGTTATTAATTAAGAGTAAGAAGCAGTAATGGCACGTAGGTGTGATAATGTCGTGATGTGCATGTTTGCTAGTCCGTAGGAAGTTTAGCGAAACACCGAATGGCGTCGTGCGTCAGCATGCGATATTAAAGACGCTAATTGAACTTTTTTACTCGATACCCAGGGATGAATTTCTTTCCATATAATTGGATAGTGTCGAGGCCGATATTGATCAGCGATCGAAATTTCTGAACTTTTCTACTAATCGATTTTTTTTTTCATTCTTATTCAAACAAAAGAAGTGATCTTATTTTCGATAATAAAACGCTTATTATGTATTCGTAGATTTTTCAGAAGAAATAGTACAAAGCTATAATAAGATTGGTAACGACTCGTTTCACGTATTGTATACCGAACACGTCGATTAGCGCGCGAAATTCGAACGTAGAATTTAATTATACATCGGCTAGATCTGAACTAGCGGGTCCGTTCGATCGACGGACAAAGCATTTACATTTTCTAAGCTATGTGAACGGATGATGGTATTATGTTTTCACGTAGGGTATCCCCTCTCCAATTGGCAACTCGTCATCCCCACCACTTATTCAGTATTTAACAATTTATTATATAATTTATTCGAGGTATTTTCCTCGTTTGTACGAATTTTTCCATACCTCGTATACACGTATGGACTTCTCTTTCTAAGTGACAAGGCGTGGACACGAATTCCTGCCAATTAAAGAGGTACGCACCGTTTTCAAACCCGATAATGCCATCATCGCGTTTCTGTAATTCGCTGTCGCTTCAAACACGCGGAAAATTTTGTGCCTTGATTCTTTCGTCCCATGAAAAATTGTAGGATTCGAGACTGACGTTTAAGTCGTGGTCAACAGAGAGATACAGGCCGGTCCAGTAATCATGGTACACTCTAGGAATAATAAATTAAGATTACATGATCAAAGTTCACGTATTTGTCCACAGGTGTACAGATATAGTGTCGAGCTTGATAAAACTAAAGGACGTTATTAAATTTTCAAATTTGCAAAATTTTAAACTGTCAAATTTTAAAATTAACGAGTGTAGAAATTTTTAACTGTACAAACTTTCGAGTATAGAAAAGTTGCAAAGTTCGGACCATGATTAATGGAACACCCTGTATACGTACACGTCGCGTTCTTTTGATTCTTTGACGTTCAAGGAACACCTTGAGCTGCGTATTTTTGTACGAGAGCATAAAACGTGAGGATGCATCGAGAAGGCAATAACCAATGTACCACTTATTGCCGTTTCGTCGTTGTTATATAACCGCGTTTCACCGAGAACAGGGTAGAATCAAACTGTTCCTTTGGTCGAATCATAGCGAATCTAACCGAGTTTCGTCAAGCTTCTTCATTTACGTTTTTCATCGTATTCTACGTACTCGTCCATCCTTTTCCACCGATATATTCTCCGTTTTCTCTTTTTTTTTTACATACGTACACACGCGTGTACTCGCAGATAAATCAGAATAGTCTCTGTGTTGTATAATTTTCTTTGAAACGAAAGTTTCGCTGAAATTCTTTATCAAATCATGATTTCTGTAATGTGGAATAAAAATAAAACAACCGTTTCGCCGTTCTTTGGACATTCAGTATCACGAGATGCTTTTTCACGTGCACGCGTATCCCGTGCACGCTGTACCAAACAATGTTACAATATTTAATACACGTTGACTTGATTTGCAAATAATTGGAGCGTTTTTTTGCACCGTCCTTTCTGCATGAACTATTCTGTTCACCTATTCTGTTCCTTCATTTCCAACCATACACGGGTTGATAAACAGTTGAAAATCTCTAAGAATTTCACCTAGAAATACCTCTCTCCATTATGCTTTCCTGATATGAAATTTTAATTATAAATTAGAATTCTTTAATTAATCGTTTGTTCGTATAGATGTTACCGTGAAAGAGAAATCTGGAGAATGTCGACTTACACCGGTGAATGTCGACATTCACCATGCACTAATGATGAAAGTTGAACAAGTCGGAGATTTATATTTTCTTCTCGTAATTCAGTCGCTATAAAACGTCCCAAAAGGGTGACGTAACTTTATCGCCTCTTTTTCTGAGAGGAGTGACCAAGAATTTAAAACACATAGTAAATTCTAAGCATACGTGTTCTTCCTCCGTGGCCTATTCTGGCGTGAGTTTCATTGAGCGAAGCTCTTATACTTGACTTTGCAACTTCTTTGTCCGCGTTTTTCTTTTACACCACTCAACCAATTCTCGTCAAATTTTGCATGCACATGCGTATGTACATCTAGATGGACATAGAAAAAAAATTTTAATCGGACTTGCCACGAACGAATAATCATCGAAAAAACTGATCCGAAAAAGTGAGGGTTCGACCATGCATATAAGGAAAATAAAAAAATGAATATTTCGGCACTTTGATGACGTAGTATGCTTCCTGCGGTATTTAGAAACAAATTTCTATTAGGGTTTGATGCGTTTTGATGATTAATAAAGGTAGGAAATAAATTTTTGTCGAATTCGGTTCAAAACGGTACAGGTGGCGCCATTTAGCGGCGAGCGGCAGAACTACAAATAACTAAAATTTCGTTTTTCTCGAAAACTAGGCACTTTTCCGAAATTCTGAGATATACAAATTGTTCCTTGTGGCCAAAGGAATCGAACGAATATAATTATAACCTGCTAGGACTATTATTAAGGAAAATAGAAAAATAGCGCATTTCATGGACTAAAAAATTGGCGTCCATCTAGCGGTGAAAGTTGGAACTACAAAAATATAAAAATGCGATTTTTTCGAAAATTAGCGAACTTTGAGTATTTCTGAGGCTCAGAAAGTGTTATGTGATCGCATTAGAAGCAAACTATTGCAACAAAAGCTTCCTGAAGTAAAGCAGTAAAAGTTTTCTAGAAGCTTTAATAAAGAAAATAAAAAAATTGTCATTTTATGGAGAAAATTTGTGGCGCCATCTAGCGGTGAAACTGCGAACTAAACTGAAAAAACGTATGTCTGAACACGCGTTAAGGGGTCAAATGAAAATTGATTTTCTGGGCTTAATAGGCAAAAAAATGAATAATTGATTGAACAAAAATCGCTTTAAAATGTTTAAAGAAGCATACTACGTCGTCAAAGTTGCGAAATATTACTTTTTATATTTTTCCTTAACGCGTGTTCGGACATACGGTTTTTCGGTTTAGTTCGCAGTTTCGCAGCTAGATGGCGCCACAAATTTTCTCCATAAAATGACATTTTTTTAATTTTCTTTATTAAAGCCTTTAGGAAGCTTTTGTTGCATTATTTTGCTTCTAATGCGATCGCATAACACTTTCTTGGCCTCAGAAGTACTCAAAGTACGCTAATTTTCGAGAAAATCTAATTTTTATATTTTTGTAGTTCCAACTTTCACCGCTAGATGGACGCCAATTTTTTAGTCCATGAAATGGGCTATTTCTCTATTTTCCTTAATAATGGTCCTAGCAGGTTATAATTATATTCGTTCGATTCCTTGAGCCACAAGGAACAATTTGTATATCTCAGAATTTCGGAAAAGTGCCTAGTTTTCAAGAAAATCGAAATTTTAGTTATTTGTAGTTCCGCCGCTCGCCGCTAGATGGCGCCACCTATACCGTTTTCGACCGAATTCGACAAAAATTGATTTCCTGCCTTTATTAATCATCAAAACGCATCAAACCCTAATAGAAATTTGTTTCTAAATGCCTCAGGAACCATACTACGTCGTCAGAGTGCTGAAATATTCATTTTTTTATTTTCCTTATATGCGTGGTCGGGCCCTCATTTTTTAGGTTTAGTTCATCCGTTTCGCCGCTAGATGGACGCCAATTTTTTAGTCCTATAGAGAGTGTTTTCTATATTTAAAATTAGTCAATAATTTATAACTTCCAAAAATAACTGATTTATTGATATTGATTTCGAAATGCGTGTTGCTGAATTTAGATTTGATTATGGAATAAATAACAAACGTTTTTCTTTTAAAAATACAATTGAACATAAATAAAATTGAATGTCAAATACAAATAAAAATCTTCTTTATCGACGGCTTGAAAATAGAATTCCTCTTGTTCGACGATGACTCTGATGATCACAACAGTCCATAAACTGCACTGTTTGTAACGTGAGCAAATTCAATTTTTACATTGAAGTCTATGAGGATCAGTTGTTTCGGTAATTATTCCTCCGTGGCAAGTCTGATTTAAAATTTTTTTTTCTATGTCCATCTGGATGTACGTACGCATGTGCGTGCAAAATTTGATGAGAATTAGTTGAGTGGTGCAAAAGAAAAACGCGGACAAAGAAGTTGGAAAATCAAGTATAAGAATAATTAATTCTTTTGACGTTATTATATCTCTAATAATTCTCACTTTTGTTTGTTTCATTGTGTTCATACATCTCACGTATCAAAAAATGCTTATTTTAAATTATTTTATTAAATAAAATGGTGGCTGACAGTCACCCCTCGAGCGCAAAGTGTTAATTAGAGATCAGTTAATTTATGTACTTGACGGAGCATTTAACTCTTTCATACATTAATTTCTTCTTAATTTGTATTTGTAACAGTACTTCTTAATACAATTAAAAGGGCCGACAATATTAATAACTTAAATTTATTAAGCAAATTAAGTTAAGTTAAATTTAAATTAGTTAAGAAAGTTTATTAAGAAGAATTATGTTTAATTTACTAAGAAAATTAAGTTAACTGTTCATCGATTAACTATTTAAGTATCACGTACATATTAATTTCTATTATTTCTTATATTAATTATATCTCATATCCTTTCCTACATGATATATCTTTTTAACGATATTTAAATTTTAATAAGATGATTGCTAATCGTGTTGATCACAGTGAAACTTATCATTCAGTTAAACGTGTACTTTAATCGGTAATTAATATCACGCATCAATTCATTATAATAATGAATCGCGATAATTAACAACTTCATTTGCTATCGTTAAATGTAATTACATTACATTTTAAATGGAAATATGTTACTGCTCAACGTTACTTTTTTTTTAATTACATTACTGTTATATTATTTTACTCTTACACTTATTAATTTTATTACTGTTACCTATTAATCGCAGCAAATATGTATTATATTACATATATGTATATTGTAATAAATGTGTATGTGTAATAAATACTAAAACTTTGAATGTTCATATTACATATATGTATATTGCATTATATTACATATATGTATATTGTAATAAATGTGTATGTGTAATAAATACTAAAACTTTGAATGTTCATACAAATGTGTAAATATGTGTATAAATATATACATATATGTATGTATAAAACTAATCATAATTTTTCATATCCTATATGTGTATATATTTTTTTACACGTGTAATTACATATTTAACAAAAATTACATATTTAGTAATTAAACATGTGTGCTACTTTACATATCTTAGAAATTAAACGCATCACATCTTTATATTCATATCTAGTCACCACTTTTTTAAAAGAACAGAGATGTCAATAATTCCTCAGTTTATCAAAAATTTTCAGAATTATCTTTTAAACAATTATCAGTTATAAAGAGTACAAGGGTGATACACACTTTATTCATAGTAATTTGAGGAAGAAAAAAGAAGCGACTTAATCGAACGATTAAAAAATTTGAGAGAAAGAGCCATCGAATATCCACCAACATCCTCCCCTCTTTTGCTCTTGCATTTCCCCACTAGGTCCTCAGATTCCCCCAACAGCCAGGGGCACCCCCCTCTCGAGAGTCGGGGGGTTCTTGCTCCCGCCGATTCCGATTCCGATTTTTCGTTTTCGTTGCAGCTGTCGACGCTGGACAAGAAGTTGGACCAGCTGGTGTACGTGCTGCTCACTATATCGTTGCATCGTGGTAAAACTTAGGGACTTGTATCTCTCTAGATATTGCGATCGTCCGATATTCGATTGGGTGAAAAAACATGGAATGCACAGAGGTGAACGAACCGTTTTTATTTATTTTTGTTTTTGCGACGTTTTTATTTATTAAAGGACTTTATTTTTGTGAAATATGAAACGATGTAGAAAATTTGGTATTCATTTTGTGAGGACTGTACTGACTGTACGGTTAATTACATTAGGACTAACTGCATATAATAGTAGAACTATGTTAACTATGTTACTATTAATGTAATTGTTCTAGCAGCCCAGATAATATTTTTAGAATTATTAGTTATATTAGATGAACAATTATTATTGTTAGAACTATATGAACTATACAAGTAATATCATTAGAACTGTATTAATTTTACAATTAATATAATTAGAATTATTAATAATATATAATGTACAATTATTATTAATAGTACTATACTAACTATACAAGTGATATTAGTACAATTATACTGACTGTAAATGTAATATTACTAAAAAAGTAGTAAATGTTGATTTAATATTATTAGAACTATTAATAATATTAAGAGTACAATTATTATTGTTAAAACTATGCTAACTATACAAGTAATATTAGTAAAATTATATTAACTATAAATGCAATATTATTACAAATATACTAAACGTGCAATTAATATGATTAAAATTATACTAATTATAAAAGGAATATTATTAAAAAAGTACTGATTCCTCAGTTTATATTATTAGACCCATTAATAATATTTGGTATACAATTATTATTGTTAGAATTGTGCTAACTGTACAAATAATATAATTAGTACTTAAATACCTTGTAAAA